TTCCTCAAAGACATGGGTCGAATTGACGAGGCCAACAATGCGATGAATAGAGCTATGAATGCCCAGATGAAACCCTATTCTGAGTACGAAAATCTTGGGAAACTCGATCAAGCTGAGGCAAAGGCTGATGATGACGGAGCTGCAGACGAAGGATGATGTCGAATACTTTGCCTCCCTTGGGCGGTTCTGGTTCCGACACCAATGGTAGCGATACCGTTACTGGTACCGATGTTTAGAGATGAGAGTTGTTTGCCAAGTATTGTTGCCGTAGGATCTAATAATAATTATAATATCTAGTTGTTGCCAAAGAACTCTCTACTTAGACGCTGACACTCCGCAGTCAATGCCTCCTGTAGGCGCTCATGTTCGTCAACATCTCTAACCTTTCTCCACTGGTCTCTACGAGTAATTCCTTCAATTTCCACATTCGATCGTCCACCCAAGCCAATTGCATTTGCGGGATTGGCACCATTGCCATCCCGACGCTGAATTTCTTCCCGGTCAGGTGGGGCCACTACGATGGGATTCTCTGTCTCGAAACTGTTTGTAGGATCGTACCAAGCCCTTGGATCACCATCCATAACTCGGTCAGCCACACCCATATTGTGCAAAATGAGACAAGCCGTGACAATCTTTCCAATCAAGTCCAGTCTATGCTCCATCAACGGATGCGTCATGTACTGAAATTTGGCTTGAAGGATTCCAAAAGCCCGCTCGACATCCTTTTTCGCAAAGCCAACATGGGCACTGACGGTGGCTCTCTTGGCTGCCTGCAATGGAATTGAATTCTTTATGGGCAGCAGTCAAACGATCGATAGCTTGGACTTTCTTTTCATCAGAGATACCCTCCAACATAATTTTCTTTTGCTGTTCCTTGAAAGCCTTGGTACCGGGAGGCCGAGGGATAGTAGAGCCCATGACAGAAGCAACTTCAGCCGTGTTGTTGCCGGTTGTTGGCTGTTCCGTGGCTCCTTTTTCATCGCCACTGTCGGCCAACTCAACGACGCGTTCCTCCTGTGTGGCGGCCTCCTCTGCCGTCAAATTTGGATCAAAACGGGGAAGGGACTTCAATACTTCCAGGCACGGTTCAAATTTGAATACAGCGTCATGCTTGTCCATGTATTCCTCTCTCGCAGCTTCAATAAAGTCTTTTTCATTCGCCCAGCCAGACTTGGGATTCTTCTTCACGTGGCGGTAGCAAGGAATGAAAAGATTCATTGATTTGAGGATATGCCGGGTCCAACGGTTGTAGCAAGATTCCCAAGTCCTTTTGGGCCTGTCGGGAAAATCCGTAGCACGGATCTCTTCGAATTTGTCGGCGATGTTCTGCCAGTACACTTTGCCCTTTTCCTTGGCTCCCTTCTTGAGATTGCATGTCACATTCACAACGGCACGGGAAAGACAGTAGTCATCGAGCTTGTCATATTTTGCATCCCTCTTTTTTGCTTCTCCTTCAGCTTTGATGTCGTCATGATTGGCTTTGGCTTTTGAATTACCATTCTTCTTGCCACGGCCACGACCACGGCCACGGCCGCCGCCTCGTCCACGACCACGGCCACGGCCACCGCCTCGTCCACTGCCACGTCCACCAGGGAAGGCAATGGTCACTCCTTTCTTCCCTTTGGGCTTCTTCGCAGTATCCTCCTCGTCCTCGGAGTCATCTTCATCGGATTCCTCTGCTGAGGTATCTTCTGCATTTTCTTCGTCTTCGTCTTCAGAAGAGTCATCGTCAATGACGGTCTTGCCAGTCGGCTCCTTTCCTCGCACCTTCTTCAAAGGAGGAGGCTGCTCATCTTCAGAGTCAGAAGAGAGATCATCGTTAGTCTTCTTCTTGGTGGCGGCGGCTCTGGTAGCAGCAATCTTCTCGGCAGCACGGTTGTGGCTGTCAATGAAATCTTCAACAGGAGGATCGGATACGGTCACCATTGTCAAGTCAATTTTATTACTCCTTTCAGCCAGCTATCAATGCTACAAATCAAGCCAAAATGTGAAGAGGAAGCCATCATGATGCCACAGAGCGAAATGCCACAGCGAAAGAAGAAAGAAACTGACTGCCGAAATTGCCGATTGCCGTTGACAGGGAGCGAACTGTTAGGACGAAACGGTAGGACGAATTTTTTAGAGGTTGCACTCGTCCTAACCTTAGTCCTAAATTTAGAACGAGTTTTAGAACGACTTTTTTAGAGATTGCCAATTCGTCCTAAAAACTCGTCCTATGTTTAGGACGAGTAGCTTAGGACGAGTTTTAGAACGAAAACTACTAAAGAATGCCCTTAGGGAGCACTGCGCATGCCACTGCAGTTATGGGTTCAAGCCAGGAAACAGGAAACTGGAGCGTTCCTCAATCGTGGGTGAGCTTAAATCCAAAACGCCCCTATTTTAGGGGCAGATTTAGGGGCAGATTACCTTAGGGGCGGGTTTGGAAAACGCCCCTATTTTTTAGGGGCGGTTTCTGGAATCTGCCCCTAAAATAGGGGCATTTTGCCGATTTAGGGGCGGGTTTGGAATCCGCCCCTAAATGGAAACGGGACTGAATGGTAAATTCATTGAAAACGCCCCTATTTTAGGGGCGGGTTTGGAAAACGCCCCTATTTTTAGGGGCGGTTTCTGGAATCTGCCCCTAAAATAGGGTCGTTTTTGCCATTTAGGAGCGGGTTTGGAATCCGCCCCTATTCGTTGTGAGATTTAGGGGCGGATTCCCGAAAACACCCCTATTTTAGAGGCAGATTTAAGACACTTGCATGACTGAGGAACGCTCCTGGTACTTCTTGGCTCCACCGGTAGCCTAACCAATAATGAAGCGGGCGGACTGCGTGAGGGTGCAGAAGCCTTGTATCGCTACTATCGAGAGGAAACCACGCAGCCGCAGATCTTCTCCTGCTTACTTATACGAATGCAACACCCCAACACCACATGTGGTTGACCGCCCCCCTTACCAATGCAACAATTCGACCAAAGGCCCCGACGAAAGGGCACATCAAGGCCTCTAGCTAGCTATAATAAATAAATAAATAAATAAATAAATAACTATAAAGGGGATTATGTGAAAGGAACGGTACTAGCTAGATACCGGTAACGTCCGCTTGTAAAAAGTAGGGGAAGGGATCAAGGGGTTCTGGGCGTGAAGTAGGCATATATGGACCGGCAAGGACTGACGACGGGGATGAGCCGGAGGAATAGAGGGATCGAGCTTGGCGTGAGCTAGCTAGTGCACCATGGTAATGAGCCTTGGCCGCAATTGCACTACGCTAAAAGCTAGTGTAAAGATCTTTCGAGTGTTTTGAGTTTGAGAGAATGAAAGTTATGAGAGGATTAGAAAGCTATGAAAACTAATCAACGAGAGAGATCCACAATCAAAGGATCGTAGATCTGAACTCCCGCGGGAGACTGTAAAGTGTGATAGAGTAGGTTGCGGTAGCAATCCTACTCACTCCACGATCCAAAAACGGAACGCGTGGAAGATTCGTCTAGCATTTATCTAGTAGCGTGGAATCTCTCCACGCCAGCTAAATATCTAGCGCGATGTTTCACCATCGACCTAGTATGACTAGCGGTCATGAGAACCCTGTCTCAATGACTATTCACGAAAGACTCAGTCATGAGTCGAACTCAAACCCTATCTAGGATCGAGTCGCGAATAAGGCTAAGAGCCGTGTATTGCATTCGCCCCCTGACAAGGGTCACGGAAGGCACGACATCAGTCGGACAAGGAGAACATATGAATTAAAGTGCGGGGCACTCTCCGGAGATTGGATGTAGACATGTGCGTCGCACGATGGCAATCCTACAAGGGGATCAGGCCTTGTATGGGTGTAAATACCTTATGTTCCAAGTCTGGTAGACTGTGCCGCTATTGGCGGTAGCATGTCGGAGCCGTACAGTGCCATTGTTATTGACTCGGTCTGTGTGGTAAGGACCTTTGTGCTTTGGCTGACCGTACTTGCGGTGCTGATACTGATGAATCATCATAGTATCGTTGACATTGTGTTGATGAGGGACACGTGTCGCGTTCTCCCTATCGTTGTTTTTCTGGATAAGTCGTTGGCGACGTTCCTTGATGTATTTCCAGTTTGCTTCGAAACGGATGTTGTGAATCTTGTCACGATTGACGCGCGTGAACTTGCGACGAAGTCCATGTTCATCCCGGAGAGTCTTCTCGACCTCTGCGCGGGACTCACGTTCTCTGTCCATGACAACCTCAGCCGGTCATGGATACTGGGTAACCCACGTCTGTTTTAGAACGATGGTTACTTCGTCTGCTGTCTTGGAGCAGACCTTGGTAATCCCGAACCATTCGGTTACGGGATCAATCATTGTCCAGCAATGAAGTGTACATGTGATCGTCAGATTCGTGTATCTGGCTGGTAGTTCATTGGTCCAATGAATCCACGAAGTTCCTTCCTATTCGTAGGAGGAGCGATAGCTGGATCGCATCTATTGTCCTTTAGTTAAGGGTTGGATTCCTTCTCGAGTAATCCAATGGTCTAGATACTCAAGTTCTTCCTTTCGAGGAAGGCCTTGGTAGTGTTGATTTTAAATCCGACTTCTTGAAGTCTTTGGAAAAATTCATCTAACTATTCAACGTGATCTACTAGATCGTCGTCAGTTAGGATGAGTTGATCATCAATGTATGCACGGACATTTTCTAAGTCATGCATGCGTGTTTTCATCTTCCTTTGGAAGATGTCGGGACTATTACATAGGCCCATTGGCAACCTCTGGTACTCGTGCTTTCCCCACGGGAGTACGATGGTACAGAGTTGCTTCGAGTGAGGTGACAGCTCGATGTGATAGTGTCCCATGTTCAGGTCTAGACTAGTAGCGTACTTGAATCCATCTAGATTCAAGAGCATGTCCTGTATTTTTGGGATAGGATAAGGCTTCCGCTTAATCCTTTTGTTCAGTTCCCGGAAATCAGAGATGAATCGTACAGATCCATCTTTCTTGGGAATGATAAAAGTTGGTGCCGTCCACTCGGAACAGTTTATCTTTTTAAGTACTCCTGCCTTGCAGAGACGTTCAACCTCTGTCTTGAGAGTGTTGGTATGGACACGTGGAGTAGGGTGAGCCCTAGTATAATAGGATTTAGCGTCGGGACGAAGTTCTACTTCGTAGTCGTCCATTTGCAACTCTCCCAAAGTACCCTCGACTGGGTCGGAGCACTTGGTTGAGAAGGCATGAGGCAGTTCTTGCTCTTCCTTATTTAACTGATTTCGACTCTGGCACATCTGCCTTAAGTCAGTTTGTTCGTATGTTGCATCAAGAATCTTCTTGAGACTATCTGCACTGTCGCTGACAGCTGCAGGATCAGGAATGGAGAAGTTCTCTTCTCTATCGGTATCGCCATCTTTCGCAGGGAAAAATATGCTGTTCCACTCCATTGACATGGTAGTGAAATCAAACTTGATTCTTAGGTCGGAGAGAGTGTCTTGACCTATGATCATGTCATGCGCCCCCAAGTTCTTGGTGACGTGTAAATTCCATTCGATAATTCTATTATCGTGGAACTCAGGAATCATGAGTGTGCCCTTACACTTCGTGCGGGGTTTCAATTCCTTTACAGAAGCAGTCCGTAGTGTTTGGACGCCCCCATGATTCTTCATGAGTAAACTCTTAGCATGAGTTTGAGTAATTAAAGTTCCGGATGCTCCTGTATCCAGTAAGCAACAGAGTGTAACGGGTTTTTGTTTCCCTTTCTCTCGTCTGTTAAATCTAACATAGACGATAGTTTTGAGGTCTCTTGTCTTGCGACGTTGACGAGTTGATTGGCCATGGACGAAGTTAACGATGCTGAATAGATCGTCAGAGTCTAGTTGAGCAGTTGCTAGGCAATTATC